CCTTAGCCGGCTTCCTCTTCGGCAACATCAACGAGGCCGGGCAGCTGGAAGGAGACGGCGTCCTGGACAAGGTGAGGCTGGCTGGGCGGCGGGCCCGTGCCTGGCCCCTGCGACCCCCGACGGAACTCCGGCACAGTTCGGGGTCTGCCAACTAAGCCGTGCCATCTCTGTGCCCGGGCGAGCTCCCCTCCCCCTGTCCGGGCCTCCGTTTGCTCAGCTGCCCAGCCAGAGGGTTGGGGTTGGAGCGGGCGACCTGCCTAGCCTCTCCCAGCCCCGCTGCTGTGATCGCGCTGATCCGAGGAGGGCATTTGGTTTAGCCCCTTGCCCCCAGGCAGAAGCTCGGCTCTCGAGCGTTCGGAACGGAGAACTCTGCCCATTGTCCGAAGCTGTGTAGGAAGGGAGACTTCACAGACCCCTTGAAGTGTTCCATTTCTGTAAGATCTCACCTGCCTTCTTTCCCACGCCCAATAGAATCCGCTCCCGCAATTCCAAGTCTTTTCTCTCAACCTTGTGTACACATGCAGAGGGTTACTTCTTAGCGTTGCTTCCTCATTTGTTTAGAAACTGTGGAGCCATCCCCTTGGCTGTCTTCTAAGCAAAACCACCCCAATTTCTTGAACTTTTCTTGGAGAATGCATTTTTCTTCCCTTTAGTTATCTTGGTCATTCATTCCTTTTGGAAATCTTCCCGGGTGCTTCATACCCCCTTTTAAAGTATGGTGACCAGAAATGGACACAGTACTTTTGAGGAGTGGAAGGATGATTTCCCAACCTATACAGGTTACATTCTTTTAGCAGGTCCAAAGTATCTTGTTGCTTTATGGATATGTTTTATGCTGGAGTAAGAATGCAAACCTAAACGTGAGAGAGCGGTATCTAGTTAGGGGTCCTCTATCTCATTTCTCAGGAGTCTAAGAAGCACTTGGCAGGCCTTGGGGCTTTGGGTCTTGGCAATCTGATCACTGAAATCACTGCAAGCGAAGGGGAAGTGACTGGAACTGATGGCGCCTTTGTGGATGAAGAAGGTGAAATTGGGGTCTCGGATATTTGGGAGTGCGGTGTAGGAATGATCTGGGGGAATCTGGGTTGGTTTCTCCCGTGGATACCCTTTTTCCCCTCCAGGTTGGGTTAAGAGCACTGAAGATGCCGTAGACTATTCTGACATCACTGAGGTGGCAGAAGACGAAAGCCGAAGATACCATCAGGCGATGACCAGCTTGCAGCCATCCTGCCCCTCAGGTGATTCATGGGGAGCTGTCAACATTCTTCCATCCCAGGGCTGTGGTGACCACCCCTGGCCCCAGCTTTGGGGCCCAGTTACTGCCATGGTCCCTGCTATCTGTGCCTTGGATCTGCTTTTCTTCCTTTCTCAGCTTAGTTCCAAGAAGTCTTCAGCCAGTCTGTTTTCTTTTGAAGTACTCACCAGGACACCATATTGAAAGTGCTTCATTCTTCCTTCTGTTAAGTCGTGGATACATTGCTGCCATTTGGTAACTGCCAAGCAATGATGGTAGCAATCTCTTCTGCCTTATCAGCTAGCTCTTGAGCACCCACAGGGATCAAAAGAAATGATATTTGCAAAGTGCTTGGCATGTAGTGGGTGCTTAAGAAATGTTTTATCGACTGACTGAGTAGGGTTGCAAACCTGGGGGAGAACAAGAGGACAGTGTTGAAAATAATGGGGGAATTGGAAAAGGGATGAGGAAGAGCTCAGTGTGGTACGTGTGACAGTGTGTGAGAGAGGGGGGGGGGCATGTGATAAACACATCTTCAAGTTTAGTGGTTGGGGCATCTCAGTGAAGGGGGGCTGTCGATCATAGGAGCCAGATGATTGGGAAGAAGGTATGTGGTTAGGGCTGGCAGTACAGCTGTGGAAGTGAACAGCACGCTGGTACAGGGAGAAGGGACTGAGCGGGGAGAGATGAGCAAGGGGGTTCAGCATTTCGCTTTGAGGGACGATCAGTTAAAGAGCAGGCGGCAGAAAACACAGAAGGAGTGGTTAAAAAGCGAGAGATCCAGGAGAGCGATACTCTGGACTTAGAGGCTAGAAAGGCATATCAAGGTGTGTCGCATGCGTTTCAGAGCTAGAGTAAGAAGGTCAGGGATGCAGGGGTGGAAAGGGGAGGCTAAGAAGTCTTCAGGGGAAAAGGGGGAAAAGGTTGCACATGGTCCAGCTGAGTCCCCCTAATTCCCCAGTAAGGTTATG